GATTGATTGATTGATTGATTGATTGATTGGCCTTCTCGATTGATTGGCTGATTGGTTGATTGGTTGATTGGTTGATTGGTTGATTGGTTGATTGCTTTAACCGGCAGACCAAGACGGGCGCTCCGAACTCTTATCATCAATCGATTGATTGATGGTTGTTAAAATACCCACCATTCAACGGCCCAGAGGCAGGCAATCTGGCTGCTGTCTATGCCTCTCCAGCGCAATGCCCGCCTACTCTAGTCTCACTCGCATTTTACCTCTCTACTCCCTTTCACTTTTCCGCTCCTTTTCGTTCCACAAATACACACAAGCGTGCGCGCACGCAAGGGTAGCGAAAGACGGACAGATTCTCTCACACAGAGACAGACAGACACATACAGACACAGAGAGAGAGAGAGAGAGAGAGGTTTCTCGATGGCAAAACCCTCCCAGGGTTTTCTTTTTTGCCGTCGGGCGAACGGAAGCGCAGATAGGACTGGAGATGGACGAGAGAAGAAGAGAGAAGGACGATCCTTATCAAATGAACACAACTGGCGACTTCCTCAGCAAAAAAAAAAAAAAAAAAAAAAAAAAAAAAAAAAAAAAAAGGCGCGTGCAATCAAACATTTTGCCCCATTATAGCTAGCTAACCGTCAAACAAGATTAACGAACAGACAGGACAGGCTACCAAACATGCGCAACGAACAATAAAAAAAGAAACCGATTCCACCAAACAAACGCATAAATATTTTACAAAGGGGAGGGCATAGCATTGAGTTTCCATCACGCTGCCCTTCGCCTCATCTCGTACAGGTATCCCAATATGCAAACCAGCACAGTCGCTGCGATCCCGACAGCCGACTGTCCGAGCAGCGAGAGAGAGAGCTGGTTACTCAAGCTCCCTGCTGCTGCTCCGCTCCCTCCTGATCCTCTTCTGGAACCGGAATGTTTGGCTGCTGCCTCTGCCGCTGTCACTGCAAGTGCAAAACTCGGCGATGTCTCACGGCACCCCAATTCAGAGAACTTCTTATGAGCTGCCGCGTAATCACGGAGGAACAAGCTGTTGTCTTTCGCGTACGCCTCCACGTACTTTCTTAGTCCGGCATCCATCACCAGCGCCTTGTCCGTTGGCATTCGCAGAAGACCCTCTTTCTCGGCACCCAGCAGCTCCTTGAAATACCCGTTATCGAATTTGAACGGTTCTCTAGTCCAGGGCCCTTCGAATCCTGTCCGTTCCTTGTGCGCTCTTCCTATGGTGTGGCCCCCTGACAACACCACGATCTCTTTGTCCCTGAGACCCAACCGGTCGCACAGTTGTCGCAGATGTGCGGCATCTTTGTGCGGATCAGGTAACCGATCTTCCGGAGTGCTTATGGACGAGTCTTTCCTGCCGGGCATGAAGTCTATTGCTGGCCCCCCCGTGAGTTCGACAGCTAGCACGCCTCCAAGTTGCACTATGTCTGCGAAGGATACGAGAGGGAACTTCTTCCTCCACTCCTCACACCAGCCCACTGCCGTTCTCAATCCTGCGTTCGGCTTGTAGTTCAGCTCCGCTTCCAGCCTGATTGAACCGTTAGGCCCGCCCGTCCTCGTCTTCTTGCAGTAGGAGGCGGCATCGTGCCATGCAAGCCTGAGCATCAGTGGTGCGCAGTTCTTCTCCTTTATGAACTCGCGCATATCCTTGCGCAGCCCTGCAACAGCCTTCTTGTACGCTTCGTCCACCACAGGCACGTACGAAATCGACATCTCCCCTCTGCTCTCTTCTCCTCTTTCCTCCCTTGCTCCCTTTCTCCCCTTCACCGCCGCAAGCTACTCCTCCCTCTCTTCCGAGCCACGCCGCACCCTTCCTGGTGTCCTCTCCAACCCCACCAACCCAGTTCCAACCCCACCAACCCGGTTCCTCATGCCACAAGCGCTGCACCCAACCACCCAATCCCAAACCAGAACCAAACCCACTTTCGAACGCAGCACCTTACCTCCGCGGTGCTCAGCAAACCAACCAGCATGAGCGCGCAAAAACGACCAACAGTGAGACCGTGTAGGAAACCGAAGGCTGACTTCCCCTAACGGAAGCATGGAACCCCCGCCCGCTCCTACCAGGAGGAGACTGGAAGAGAAAAAGAAAGAGAGAGAGAGAGAGAGAGAGAGAGAGAGAGAGAGAGAGAGAGACGCTTACCTCCGCTAGTACATTACGCTCTGCGCGGACGGGAACGAAATCTCGTTTGTGAAGTTTGTTCCCGCAGAGAGTGTGTGCTCAGTGGAAAACCAGCTTGGGGTCCTCTCTTGCCCTTCCACTTGCCTATCTATAGTTCCACGGGATTGTCGATCATGCACGGCCACTCCAGGTGCAGCTACGTCTCTGCGAGTATTCCACTTGCGCCCACCTCCTACCTGCGCCGATTTCGAGTGCATCTCACTTACTCTAGCATCTGCTGCGCTGTCTGCCGACCCCCTTACCTCCGGTGCTTGCGTCCATGGCTTGATCTTTGCGAACTCCTGCAGTCGAAGCTAATTCTTATCAGAACACACTATGTGTGTATGTGCGTGTGTGTGTAGCTGTGTGTGTGGAGGGGGAGGGGGAGGGCGACGGGAAGGAGGGAGTGGGTGTGGGTGTGGGTGTGGGTGGGTGGGTGAGTACGGGTGTGTGTGTCTGAGAGAGCGAGAGAGAGAGATGGGTAACTTTCTCAAGCACAAATTGAAACTACTTTGCAGCGCACGATCCAAACGTATACACCCGTCGATACGCATCGTATGTCACACGTGCCACACTCCGTCACTCACGTCACACCTATGAAACGCGAGAGCATGAACCATGCACTGAACATGATGAGGAATGCACCGTACGTCACACGGTGGCCCACATAGCAGCTCAGGATGTGGCTTGCACCGTAGATGGCTCTTACCGTAGCAATGTACCGTTAAAGCTTAATGCGTGCACGCATGGGGCAGACTAAGCGAGTCCATGCAGCAACCCGGCATGCGAGCTGTGGGACATAAACGACCGAAAGATCTCCAGGAGGTCGCTCCCATACTGAACTCCCAGCTGGGGCCGTCCCTCCAGTGGTGAGCAACTCCATCGCCGCGAAGGTCAAGCTGGATCACAGAGGCACACTCGCTGCCAAGCTCCACCTGTACAAAGGGAGATTGACTTGTGCAGCGCGTACTAAGTTAAGCTGCAAAATCGTCAAAGTGATTGATTGATTGATTGATTGTTGATGCAGATCTTCACCCCGACCAGAATAGCGGGTGCACAAGCTTTGCAGGGAGCACACAAAGACAGACCAGCCATGAAATTCCTTTAACAGTGGGGTCATTATGGTACTGCACTCACAGCCGGGCTGCATGGTCTCTGCAACTCTGCATGGGCACGCACAGAGGACTTGGACGGAAACAGTGGTGTGACAGTGCCCCAAAGGACACATGGCCGGTCTACGAAACCCATGCACTGCTCCTTTTTGCGTTTGATATGATAACGTTATAATGATGGGCTCCTCCTGCTTGATATGCCACAGCATGAGCGGTACGTGTTAGGGGCTACGAGAGGTGCGGTATTGTGGACTCTTTGGAAGGCTATGGAAGGCATGCCAAAATTTGGCGGCAAGAGATTGCTGATCTTGAGGCCTTGAAGGTGCAGGCTCGTGATGCCCTTACCGGTAGGCAAGTGGGGCAGATAGACTGGGAGAGAAAGGAAGGATGGGCCGGCACTCCAAGGGTTTCAAGTGATGGGCTGGTCAGCCTAAATTGGCTATGGTTGATAAAGCTACTGGTCCCCTCTTCTTTTGCCCTTTTTCCCGTCCCGAAGTGCTCATAGGCCTTAGGGCCTCGTTCAACACCACTTGAACTCAAGGGTTGAAGGAAAATTCTTGGTTCGACCCCACCCTAACGTCCCAGCGGAGTTGTTTCTACTCTCCCGCTTGAGCGGGGCCAAAATAGCACTTGAACTCAAGGTACCTCTCTGGGGAGCCTTGAGTTCAAGTGCTGGCGGGTACGGCCGGCACTCCAAGTGAGGCTTTTTTTTTGTTTTTCTTTTTTTCCAGCAGGCCATCCTGGCCCAGCATTGGTCAAGCGGTGGAGTTCGGTTTCAAGTGCAGCCTGTTCAAGGGTTTCCTCAAGTGTACATGGAACCATACGTCGAGTAAGTGTAAATTAATCACAAATTCTCGTTTACTGTGCACTTGAAACTCAAGTATTTTCAAGTGGTGTCGAACAAGAGCCTTAGGCTTGGACCCCACTTAATCACAATTTCTCGTTTACTGTGCACTTGAAACTCAAGTATTTTCAAGTGGTGTCGAACAAGGCCCTTAGGCTTGGACCCCGCTGGCCAGCGTCATGAAAAACTTCTACTACCGATGCCATTCCGGACCCCACCAGAGCACCAGGAGAAGTTTTTGGGGGACACCCACACACACGCACACATACAGAAGCGTGCGCGTGCACGGGCGATGACGCCAAGAAGATGCGTGAATGTGCGCGTGTGTGTGTGTGTGTGTGTGTGTGTGTGTGTGTGTGTGTGTGTTCACGCCATCTTTTCGTTTACTTGTTGGTTGCTGTATGTGTGTGTGTGTGTGTGTGTGTTGTGTGTGTGCGTGTGTGTCACACAGTGTGTTCACGTCATCTTGGTTGGACAGGTAGTATATGATGACGAATCAAAGGTGTTTGTCATTCGTTTTTAGTGTGTGTGTGTGTGTGTGTGTGTGTGTGCTGTTGTCATCTCTCTCTCTCTCTCTCTCTCTCTCTCT